GTTTCCTTTGATGTTATGGTATTAATATTGCTGGTTTTGTTTTGCTCCTAGCTCTTACGGTGTCTTCACTGAATGTTTCAATAAAAACATTTCCAATAAAACCTCTGTGAAGCATCAGTATAAGAGACCATCATTCAGCCAGGGATGCTACACTGTGTAGTCATTCATCAACATTAAATTAAAATAAAAATAATAATTACGGGATAACAAAGATCAGCCTCCACACTTCATGATTCATGATTTGACTTTTCCATAATGTAATGAGCAACTGTGATATCAGGTTGTAAGAACAATCATATTTTTAACAGTACTGGAGAATAAAATTTTACCTCCAATTCTTTGCATCAGCTTTCAATGAAAGCCTCTTGTTCCAGTATATCATAAAAATAAAGGACTCTAAAGAGTACACCACTGCTGTCTTTTTAGTTCTCCTGATAATAACATGTTTATAATGAGCCCGAGCTTTCCAACCTGTTTATTTAAATTGTTTTTGTGCATCACAACATCACCCTGAACAGAGAGGGGGGTTTGGTCATCATGTGCTCTTCAGATTGAAAAATGTTGTAGGACAGATTTAGTCTGGGAACCATGGTTCATGAGTGTTTATGGACTATATTTGCTGATCGGCCTTGGGGTGGCGCTCTATGGGCTCAAATTGTGGTCATATATTTTGTACTTGTGAATCAAATGCGTAGTTGTGAACCGAGTTTTGTAACCATGTAAACTGAAAATGTTATGTTTGTGCATCTACATACATCCTGTTTGTATGTCTTCTTTGTGTGTGTGTTTGCAAAAAATATTTACACAAGTTACAAATTATTTTTGTTAAGGTCTGGTTACAGATGCATAGCAAAAAACTATGTGTAAAACTCCACTCTCCAGTTCCCTGGCTGTGTGTGACTTCCAACTTGCAAGTAGTGATGTGTCGGTCGTGAACAAAACAGCTCTTAGAGCCGAGTCTTTGAACTGAACGATGTGAGCCGACTCGTGTTTCTTTTCTTTCTCTCACCCTCTCTCTCACACTTTTTTCCACTTCACTCCACACGCGAGCCTAGTGCTTTGCACTGGGCAGAGGGGGGAGGGGCGGTAGTTACACTCGCAGTAGCACGGGAACAGAGCGGGAGAGAAAGAGAGCCAGGGACAACATCACATTAGAAAGGTATAGTAATCATCCACAACTATTATAAGTTGCGGATGATAAAGGATTCAGAAAGTTTATTCATGCAGGCCCATATGACAGAGAACATGCTTCTTCATTTTGTTTTCATATTTTCATTTATATTTAATTGTGTTGTGGTTTGCAGTGTTTTGTGTTGTTTCACTTTAAACTTGTTTAAAAGGAAAGAGCTGAAAATTTTAATAATTAAAAGTTGAAATGTGAATAGTTGGTTTTTGTATTATATGATTTTCTCATGGTCCCCGTGTCTGCCTGGCTGACTCAGGTTGGCTACATATGTTTCTTGTTTACATCTGCCTCTCTCACGCTTGCCGTGTCTCGCTGGGGCGGAGCTCATTGCGAGCTCCCGCCCCTGGCCCTCGCACCTGAGATTAATCACACACCTGTGGCTCATCGCGTAACCTCATCCACTACTTAAGGCAGTGGCTGGAAACATCTCGTTGCTGGACTATTGAGTAACCTTGGTAGTAAGCTCCGGGGGACTAGTTTCTTGTTGTCTTTTCACATCGCTGATTGATGAGATTAATCGGAACAGGAATTCCACTTCCCTTGGAGCCCTTGGTGTGCAAGATTGGTGATGTGCTGTGTTTTGTGGAGTCCCTCGTGTGTGAAGAGCTCCTTTTCCTTTTCCCCTGTGCCCTGGATCCCCCTTGCCCTCTCACTTGTATGAGAGGGCACCAATAAACTGAACTATATTTTAGCTGCCTCGTCTGCGCTTGAGTCCATCCCACATCATGACAGATTTATTTATTACATTTTATGTGGAGTGAATAAATAAAAGTATATTTACTGTGGCCGCTAGAGACAGAGCACGTACAAACTTCGAACCACATAAAAACTCCAAAACGTAAAAACTCAGAAGCACATAAAAACTCCAAAACACGTACAAAACACAACAGAAGTGCTCCAGGATGCTAGGGGCAGTGTTGAGCTTTTGTTACCTATTTGGCTACACAAGCCAGGAAGTACCAACAACCGGATTTGTTGTGTGGTAGTAACAGGTAAATGAACTTTTTTTAAATTATTTGAATATATAGGAGTTCTTGTGTATAAATACACAAACAATACACA